AGCTAATCTATAGAATCACATATGCATAGAGAAATACAGACATTAAGAGAGATCATCTTTCATGATCCCCTCAAGATTCTTTTTCCTTAAACTCCACTTTTGAATCAGTAGGTAAGATGTACAATCTTAAAATGATGCATTACAGACGCTGAGAATAACAAAACAAAAAATGAATCCAACTGTAGATTTTACCTGCTTGCCAAGCATGAATTACTAAATACAGAGAAGTATGACATCTCAGAAGACAACATGGATCTTCACAGCACTATACAAGGACAGCATTGTGGAGGCAGCCACAGGTATGATACAGCAAAGAAAGGGAATTGCAACTATTTATTTGCCATAGTAGCTTCACTTCAGGGCTAAAATAGTCCCAAGAAGAAGAAAGAAAAAGTTAATTTTCATTCCGAAGACATACACTCAGATACAGGCACACATAAGATTAGGTAGATGAATGAACTAGATGACAGCATTGCCTATTTCTCTAAAGAAAACTAATTCTTGTTTGCATTATTATAAATTTGGTTAAAATCATCCACCAATGTGCAAACAAAACATCTCACTGATTGAATTATTTTCATCAATATGTTTTGATGTAATATATGCATAGCCATTATTTCTGTCATATATGATAGATATTTAGATATAGATATGGATATAAAATATATGATAGGTGTGTGTATGTATATGTGTGTAGATGTGTGCTCCAAAATGTTTCTAATCTTGTACTGGAACTGAAGGTGTATCTTGCACATCTGGATTGACTTTACATTTTCTGGTTCCCTTTGGCCTCAGATAAATGTCTGGTCTAAATTTTAAGATATGACTTATATAGGAAAGTGGAGAGTTTAAGAAGCAAGATTTTTGCACATTTACAATTGAGTTAGGACTTCCCCATGAACTCTATTCAAAAGAATCAGTAAATTAAGAAAATAGCTCCACTTTTTCTTACAATACAGATCACAAATTGTAGAATTTTCAAATTTGAGGGATGTTAGAGACATGTTAGAGATCAGTCATCCCAAACCTCTAAAGGAATCTGACTCTACCTCTCTTACAATGACAGAAAAGTGGGTTTCTTCAAAGAACAGTACTTTTTTCTGTTGCAGATTCAGAGCTAATCTTTGGAACACAGTTATACACAAGGGCAATATACTCAGAGTGAAGTCATATTCTTCTATTTCCAATTTGATACATCCTAAATTCTTGCTCCTAGAGTCCTTTTCAAGTTCAAAAACCTCAATAGAGCTCTCGGGCAGGGGAGGGAGAAAGACAGAAAGGTTATATGAAAGGCAGCATGATGAAGTGGACAGAGCTCTGAATTTGCACTATAGCTTTATAGCTGGAAGAGACCTTAGAAGTCCTGTAATCTAAACCTTCTCACTTTGCAGGTGAGGAAACTGAGGTTTGAAAAGGTGGTATGACTTGCCCCAAGGACACATATAAATGATAGAACAAGGATTGGAACCCAGGTGCTCTGACTCCAAAGCTAGCTTTTTTTCAACTGAATCACATTGCTTTCTAGGTCTGCATTTCCCCCCTTTGACATTTACTACCTTTATGACCTAAACAAGTCATTAGCCTCTCTTGGACTTAGATGATATCTGACAACCTATCTGACAACCTTTTCAGCTCTTAGTCTTAGGATTCTATAACTGCTTGCTGTCCATACCCCTTCATGAGGGGATAGATTGATTATTTCAGCTTTTAACATCTTATGGACATGCCTTATAAATCAAGAGTGGTGGGGGTGGGGCAGAGGCTCCGAATATAGACTTCTGAATGTTATAGTTGAAATCATCATTGAGAGAAAGGGTTTATGTTCTTGGTCTGTTCATTGTTGGGGGACTTGTTTTTCAGTAAGTGGTATGTGCCTGAGGTTGATATGTAGTCAGCTTGGGTTGTATGTATAGATCACTAAGATTTTCCTTTGTGCTGCTCTCAAAGCAATAAAAGTAGTAATAGTTGCTTGAGAAATGTTTGGGTATATAGTTGGGAGAGAAATATGAGGGAACCAGTGGGAGGCTGAAGAAAGAAGATGGTGAAAAAGACAGTTTTCCAATAACAGACTCATAGAATAGTAGTGCTTTAGGAGACCTTGAAGAGCATTGACTCCAATCTCCTCACCTAAGGAAGAGATTGAGCACCTAAGAGATGAAGTGACCTTCCCATGGATACACACTCTGTTATGGGAAGAATCAGGGCTGCAACCCAAGTACCTCCCAGGCCAGTGGTCTAGTTCCTGCTTCATCTTATGTGATTCCTTTTTTTTTGTGAATTTTTAAAAATTTTATCCATTTATTTTGATTTGTCAACAATCACTTCCATATGCTTTTGAGTTAAAAATTTTTTCTCCCCCTTCCTTCCCACCACCCTTGGTCACCGGCTTTGTGTTCTGGGGCCTCTTATGTTGGGAATTGGAGGCTGTAGGGTTCTGGCAGCTTACCTCATGTTGGGCTGGAATCAGCAAGGCTGGAACTTTCAGGCAATCCTAGGTTGCCTGCTTTTCCTTTCCTTTGGCTTTCTTCAGCTCCTTTTAGATGGGTGCTGCAGGGTGTTGATCTGCCTGAGGCCCCTTGCAATGCTGCCTCCCTCATTTCTGCTAATGCACTGGAAGATTCCTTTGAGGTGTAGTGCTGAGGCACCTCGTGTTTTTCTGAGTTGGTTTCTACTGGTTCCCCCACCCTCACTGAGGCACTCGAAGGTCCAGGTGTTGGTATTTGCCTGCTCTACCACCTGGGCTTCAGGATCTCCTCCTGGTTGACATTGGAGGCAGTAAGGTTCTGACAGCTTACCTAGTTTTGGGTTGGAATCAGCAAGTCTGGAATTTTAGGAAGACTCTGGGTTGCTTTCTTCAGCTCCTTTCAGATGAATGCTGCAGGGTGCTGATCTGCCTGGAGCCCTTTGTAGTGCTGCTTCCCTTATTTTTGCTGAGGCACTGGGAGACCCCTTTGCCGGGCTGCTACACTGCTGTTCCCCATCTTTCTTCTAGTTCAGCTGTTCCAGGGTTGTTTTTATTTTCCTGGGTATATTTCTGGGTTCAGAGTTGATAGGAGGTGAGAGCGACTACCTTTTTACTCCACTATCTTGGCTCCCGGAAGGGGAAGCTTATGTGATTCCTAAACCCATCAATTGCCATTAAAGAAAAGACTTCTCTTCTATCCCTTTCATACCCCTGGAGGCTACAGGCAAAAAAAAAAAATTGGATTATTTGTTAAAGACTAAAATGTATTTAGATTTTTTGTTTAAAATCAATATTTGAGTGAGACAGTTGTTGGCTAACTCTGGAATGCTGAGAGATTTTTCTCATCTCCTTTATCATATAGATAACCTTCAAAATAAATTCAATTTAATTCAATAAATATTTATTGAGCACCTACTATGTGTAAAGAACACAAGAGGTCCTGAGTCCTTAAATTTGTTGGTTCAATTTTCATTTCCTGAAATTCATTAAAAATGTTCCTTAATAAAGTCAGGCAGAAGGACGGCTCAAGGCTTCTTCCAGGCTTTCTGTGTTACAAATCTTGTAAGACTAGAAAATGAGGATATTGGCAACATGACTAATTGCTTTCTTCATAACATGATTGTGATTCACACACATACTGGAACAACCTATGTACTGATCTCTCTTTAACCCTCACATCCTTTGTCCTTTTCTATCTCTCCTTCCAGAAATCTTACAGAAATACAATTAAGTAATGTCAGTGGTTCATCTATGGCTGTAGCTATAGATACCTATTTTTAAGATACATATTTTTGAAGTGGAAATGAATAAAAATGATTTGGAAACAACTGTGTTCCAAAGATTAGCTCTGACTCTGCAATAGAAAAAAGTACTGTTCTTTGAAGAAACCCACTTTCCTGTAAGAGAGGTAGAGTCAGATTCCTTTAGAGGTTTGGGATGACTCATCTTTAAGATGATCTCTAACGTCTCTCAAATTTGAAAATTCTACAATTTGTGATCTGTGTTGGAAGACAAAGTGGAATACAGGCTAGATGAGTTTAAGCTCCTTTTCTGCCACACACTGGCTATAGGAGTAGATAAGTCACTTCATTTATCAGTGCCTCAGGCATCTCTCTAAGACTCTAAGTTGAAGACAAGGGCCCAGATTCATAGAGGAAGTTTCTCACCAAGAATTTTCTACACTGACAAAATCGCAGATCTGGTTTAAAGGAAAAAAAAAAGATCTGTGATGCTTGAATGTTTCAGAGCTGTGAATCCTTCAGTACAGGTACTCCCCCCACAAATGAAGACTACAGCTAGAGGTGTGCTGGAACCAAATCACATAGGCCAGTTGTGAAATTTTCAGCATGATCATCTACATCTCAGAAATTGGCACACTTTGCAAATGAGGGCTTGAATCACTATTTTGCTGATTTTTAGAATTAAGAAAGGATTAGGGAAATTTTAATAATGTAGATTAATACTGTGCTATGCATATTTTTTTTAAAAAAAACTGGAGAGCCAATCATTAAACATTAAATCACACCAGTGATGCCTATCCATACTTTAGCAGAAGGCTTCCTGAGTACCTACGGCCAACAATAACAACAACAACAACAACAACAACTAAATAATCATTAACAGGTAGCCAAACCTCTAGTGATAAACCTCTTGCAATACAAATAGGTGGGTCCTTTGATCACAGATACAGTGTCTACCTCAGTTCCCACATCAAAGTCTTCCAGAATCTAAGTGTAGCTTCATGGTATAGATGTAAGACTTCAATAAAATCTGTATAGTGGGGATAGTTATACCTCACCTAAATCAGATGACTAATTAAAGTCATTTTCAGATCTACTATCTATAAAAACAAGTATTCTGATTCCCAAAGATAAATAACACAAATCTTGGAGTATTCAAACACCAGTAGATTTGGATCCCATCTAGTTCAACATGCATAATTAAAGATTTGACTTTCTCTTTTAAAATTTGAGTGCTAAATCCTATCTATAGAAAAGTGAGTGCTTCCTAATTATCTTCCTTTTAGGTAATTTCAGAGCAGAAGTCAAGAACTGAATCAATGGAACAGGGAAACCTCTCAATGGTAGCAGAATTCATTTTGCTGGGATTCACTGAGAATCGTGAATTGCAGATTTTCTTTTTTGTATTTTTTTCCATTACCTACACAGCCATTGTGTTTGGCAACCTCATTATCATCCTTACAGTGACTTTTGACCCTCATCTTCATTCTCCCATGTACTTCTTACTGGCCAACCTCTCCTTCATTGATATGTCCTTGGCCTCTTTTGCCACCCCTAAAATGATTCATAGCCTAGCCAGTAAGCACAAGGCCATCTCCTACCAGGGCTGCATGGCTCAGATGTTTTTCCTCCACCTCTTTGGTGGCAGTGAAATGATGCTACTTGTTGCAATGGCAATTGATAGGTACATAGCCATATGCAAACCTCTCCATTATGCAATCATCATGAATCATCGTGCCTGCTTTGGGTTTGTGCTGCTCTCCTGGACCACTGGTTTTGTGCATACCATGAGCCAGATGATTTTTATAGTGACCTTGCCCTTCTGTGGTCCCAATGTTGTGGACAGTTTCTTTTGTGATCTTCCTCAGGTGATCAAGCTCGCCTGCCTTGATACTTATGTCCTGGAGCTATTGCTCATTGCAGACAGTGGACTACTTTCACTGATTTGCTTCATTCTCCTGCTCATCTCCTACAGCATCATATTAGTCACTGTTAGACTTCACTCCCCTAGTAGGTCCTCCAAGGCTTTGTCTACACTGTCTGCACACATTACAGTGGTATCTCTCTTCTTTGGACCATATCTTCATTTATATGTGGCCCTTCAGTAATATCTCAATGTTTAAGGCCTTTTCTGTGTTTTACACTATTTTTACCCCGCTTTTGAATCCAATCATCTATACATTCAGAAATAAAGATATGAAGAGATCTATTAAAAAACTGAAAAATCAGCATATGGGTTACAGATTGACCTTCTAGTTGACATGTCATCACTGTAATTATTAGCTTCAGCAGCATCATTATCTAATGGACCTTAAGTACATCATCCCGTACCAGGCCTTGTAAAAAGCAAGTTGAAGGGGCAACTAGGTGGTGCATTGGATGGAACACTGGCCCTGGAGTCAGGAGGACCTGAATTCAAACCCACTCTCAGACATTTGACACTTACTAGCTCTGTGACCCTGAGTAAGTCACTTAACCCTAATTGCCTCACAAAAAAAGCACATTGAATTATTCTTGTCATCCACAAGCTTGTACACAATGGGATGATCTTTGTGTGACTGCAACATCTCCAAAATGCATCCAGTCATGATCTGATGGTCTTTATATTGTAATATTATATCTGAGCTTACTCAATAGAACTGATTTTGGTCACATACAAGTTACTTCACTTGTCCAGGTGTATTTCATTATCTAAAATGATAAGGTAAGAGTTCATGTTCTCGGTGGCATCTTCCAGAAGTATATATTACAATCTATGATGGTTCTAAAAGCCCAAGTATTTTAATTCCCTTCTATATGAAAACCCAAAAATGTTCCCCAAGAAGACTCATCATTAGGAGGATGTAAAACTACTTGGAACTAGAGACTGAAGGCTAATCAACTACTGTGCTTAAAGGAAACCAAAAATAAAATAAGGTAAACTTCTCGTGTCCTGCTGTTCGATCTGTCAGCAAGGGGACAGTATAGTAGGAATAGTACTGGCTCTGGAATCAGTGAGCATCAGTCAGCATTCGAATCCTTCTTCCGTAACTTCATACCTGTATGACCATAGGGAGGTAACCTAACTGCCCTGCCCTGCCCTCACACACACACACACACACACACACACACACACACACACACTGGCTTGAGTTTCTTATGAGAAGGGAAAGTAAGGGAATACATATTTATTTAGTACTTACTATAGATAGGCACTGTGTTAAGCACTTTACAAATGTTATCTTATTTGATCTTCACAACAACCCTGTGAAGTAGATACTATTATTATCCTCATTTTATAATTGGGGACACTGAGGCACGTAAAAGTTAAGTGAATTGCCCAGGGTGACATAACTAGAAAATACGTGAGACTGAATTTGAACTGTGATCTTTCTGACTCCAGGCCCAGTGCTCCAAAATGAGGAGCTTGGCATAGATGGCTTCTAAGGTCCATTCGCTAATAAATGGTGATTGTATTGGCAGGGGCAACTCACAGATAGGGAAGCTCCTTCAACTGATATTATTTTTGGTCATCTTCTCTGCAGCTTCCAACTTAGAGAGCTTTTTGAGGCACTAAAAGGTTAAATGGTTTATGTAGCATCACATAGCCAGTATTGTCAAAAGGAGGATTTAAATTTAGGTCTTTCTGACTCTAAGTGAAGCTCTCTGTCTATTATACCATGCTATATATGGAATAACACTAAAAGTATGAATCTAGAAGTGGGAACAGTTAAAACAAGTAATTGATAGATAAAATTGAGATTCATTATCAATTAATCAACTAGCATGTATTAAGCACCTACTATGTTTCAGATACTCTTTAAGGTCCTGTAGATATGAAGACCAAAAAAAGAACATTATTTTCAGAGAACTTACTCTTTGTTGGGGAGAAAAATATAAATATAAATACATATTTATGTAGATATGTAAATATATATTTATTATATACATGATATAATAAATCTATATATAAAGACATAAATATAAATTATTATACATTTACATATAAATATAGACTGGATAAATACAGAGTAAATTCAAGAGAGCTACAGAGATGGAGCCCTAGCAATTGGGGTGGGGGTAGGGGAATCATGAAAGACCATGTAGAAGAAGGTGCTTGAACTGTATCTCCATGAGGTAGAAGTGAGAAATAAGTGGATTCCAGGCATGGATAAAAATCACTGCAAAGCACACAGATGGGAGATAGAGTGCCATGTATGAAGAATAGATACAAGACCAGTTTGGTCAAATTATAGCATGTGGGAAGGGGAGAAACATACAATTATGCTGGAAAGATAAGTTGAAGACAATCTGTGAAAGACTCTAAAAGCTAAACAGAGAAATTGACATTTTATCCTGAAGGCAATGGGGGTATTTTGTTGAGTAGGAAAGTAACAAGATTTGCCCTCAGGGAAAATCAGCTTGGCAGGTATATGGAGAATGAATTGGAATGGGAAGACACTTGAGGCCTGGAGACCAATTAGGAATCCCTTGCAGTAGTACAGATGAGAGTCAATAAGGGCCTGAACTAAGATGGTGGCTTTATGAGTAAGAGAAAGGGTCAAATGGGAAATGTTGTGGAGGTGGAACGGCAAAATTTGGCAACTCAATGGCTCTGTGGAGTGAGACAGAGTGAGGATTTGAGGGTAACATTGAGATCACAAACAGAGGAGAATACAGAAATGATGATTCCTTCAACAGAACTGGGAATAATTTATAAAAGAATGGGTATGTGCTAGAAAAATACAGTTGTGTTTTTGTCTAAACAAGTATCTAGGGAAAGTCCAGGGACTCTCTGATGTCTTTATTTGTATTTCCATTGTGCTTTGCACAAAGTAAATGCTTGATTCATTCACATTTGTAAAATGCTCTGGTAAATCCTAAAACATTATGTAAATTCTAGCTATTACATTTGTTTCAACCCTATTGCTCAGCTTCATTTGTGCAGATGCCTTTGTAAATTTAAGATTGATAAAGCTTCTTGGGCCATAGACATTTGTTCAGACCAAGTTTGGAGAGTCACAGTGATACAAGAACCAGTTTAATAATGATTAGGGAGTGATCACCAAACCCATAATTGAGTAGTGAAATTAAAATGGTGGCATTTAAGAAAGTTGACCTTGGTGGCTGTATTAAGGAAGGTAGATTAGAAAAGAGAGAGAACACTTAGAATACTGTTTTAATAATTCATGTACAAGGTAGTAAGGGTTGAAACTAGGATGATGTCTGAGGAAATACAGATAAAGTAAAATTCAGGAAGGGGCAGCTAGGTGGCACAGTGGAGGGAGTGCCAGGACTGAAGTCAGGAAGACTTATTTTTCTGAGTTAAAATCTGACCTCAGACACTTACTAGCTATGGCAGGGCACTTGACCCCTTTTACTTTAGTTCTTCCTCTGTAAAATGAACTGGAGAAGGAAATGGAAAACCACTCCAAGATCTTTGCCAAGAAAACCCCAAAAGGGGACACAGAAAGTTGGATATGATTGAAAATGACTAAACAACAACCAAAAAAAGTGCAAAAAATACTGGAAATGGGGAGAAATGGCAAGTGACAGCTGATAAGATTTAGTGAAAAGGCTCAGATTCTTATAATCTAGCCAATAGCTTACTAATGTTCAGACTCCTTAAGGGTCTGCTCAATATGACAGATGTTCTAATAAACCATGTCTTTGGCTGAAAGAAGGCTTGGGTCAAACTCTTTTGGACAGGACCCATGTGTTGTGATTTTGGGGTCCCAGCACCCCTAAACCGCATCACTCCTACTACTGCTGTCATAGGATGGTAGAGAACCAAGGAACCAGGAAGCACTCAGGATTTTCCCTGTCAAATCAAAGTGTCATGTTCTTTCATTGCTGAAACACTTAGGGGCTTGTGATTCCCAGAGAATTAAGCCGCCTCAGCACAAAGTCATACATGTGTGGTAAATGGGTAGCAGGAAGGTCAGTTTTGTACATGCCTGGAGAAGGTCTCAATTATGCATATGATGGAGACTGACCAATGAAGGCCCACATCTGGATGTAGATGAACCCCTGTCCTAAAGCCCATTCACGTGAGAATCTCCTTATTAATAGAGATGAATAGTCTTCCCTGGTGAGAATAGGAGAGCTCCAGCCTTCTCCAGTTGAGGAACTGTTTTCAAGTATCAAGTTGCTTCTGGCTTCCAGTTTGGAGAAGGAAGAGGGAAGAATCCCACCCCACTTCAGACTGCTAGAGGAAAAGACTCTGGGAAGACATGAGAGGAGCTGGCAGTCTCCATTACATCCCTATCCCCAGCTAGCTACTCTAGAGACTCTGGGGAATTTCTCCTTGGGTGAGATCTAGATCTCTTTTTCTCTTGGTTGAGCTGGGTTGCTTTGCTCCCAATGGGGGGGCTCCTTCACTCTGTATTGTCTTGCATATATTCTACTATGTATACCTTCACTGATTTGTTTGGCTATGATTTGGATAAATGGATTTCTTTTCTAAAAACAAAAAACAAAAACAAAAAAAAGGTTTAGTGAAAAAAGGAAAGGGAGGAAGCAAAGATAACGCCAATGTAATTTTGGCAGGGTTCTGGAAAAGGAGAATAGGACTGTTGTTGGCACTAATGGAGAAAATAGGAATAAGTATGGATTCAATTTTCTAAAGGAGGGGTGGGGTTTTTTTCTGGTGAAGAGAAGCCAAGTCCAATTTTTTTTTAAGTTTCGTGATTTATTAGGAAATACAAGTTAACTAATCTTTTTTTGGAAAATGGAGATACTATTATTGTAGAGTTGGGAATTACCTAAATGTAATTTTTTTTATTGAAATGTGAAAATGGATGAACTCTTTGAGGGAATGAGCGTAGAGAGAAGAGAGGAAAAGTCAAATGACAGCTCTTTTGATCTAGGATGACAAAAGAAAAAGAGGATTCAGTCATGATAACAAAGAAAGAAATCAGCAAAGTAAGGGAGGGAAAACTAAGTACAAAACCTATGAACAAAATCAAGATTGAAGAGATCTTTAAAAAAACAAAAGTTAAGCTTATTGGAAGATGCATCACATACACTAAAGGTGCTAGAACCTGAAAGGCAACTTGCAGTAATACATAGAGAACCATCAATTGAGTTAAGGAGAGCTAGATTGAACTACTGCCTCTAACATGTACTGGCTGTATGACACAGAGCAAGATTTCACCTCTCCTAACATTAGGCAACTCTCTAACATTATAAGTTGCAAAGTATAAATACGTACATGTACACATATACGTGTCTGAGAGAAGTATAGAACTCAGTCAGGAATAGAACTTATTTGATTT